CGAGATCAACACGGCCATCATCTGCGCTTCCATCCCCGCCCTGAAACCGCTCGTCGTCAAGGTGTTCCCCAAGATGCTCCTGTCCGACCTCTACGCCCGCACTAAACGCACTAAGGGTGCCGCATACTACGCAGCGCGGGGTGGAAATAGTGGCACCTTGAGCAAGCACGAGAACAACAATATCAATAGCAAACCCAGTACTGGCAGCGGCCACTTGCGAAGTAACCACAGCATCGGCGGTGGCGGCATCAGCAGGTCTCAGAGCACCGCCGTCAGGACGGAGATACAGGTAGAGCAGTCGTTTGAGATGCGAAGTGTGCCAGTATCAAGCATGGGGAGAGAAGATACAATGGAGGACGACAGGGATGGGAAGACAAGCAGGGATGGGAGTGAAAAGAACTTGGTTGTGTCGAGCTGGCAGGACGAGAATTATGATACACTGAGAGGAGGGAAGAAGGTGACAATTACGAGCCATCCGAGGGAAATGGTGTGATGCAACAAAAAGAGAAAAGTCCAGAGGGGCTCCTGGGTCTGGCTGCAGAGGCGTCCGGTTGGGTAAACGCACTAGTCTAGACTAGACTTTATACCTTCGATTGTGCGGGATTTAGGGTTGTTGAGCTATGTTTTGTTGTCCAGCTTTTCAATGGCAAAATAAGCCAAATTCGTTTCTATTTTATGTACTTCCCAGGTCATCTGGGTAAAAGAGAGAAAAAGAACTGTTGGGTCAGATCAACACTGGCTTCTACATACCTACTCTCAAGTATCGTAATTCAAGCCCATCACAACTGTGGAACGTTGCTCTACACACAGGACTATGATGGGTTTTGACGGCGTTGTACTGATGTTGTATCTATGGATCTAACCAACTGCCTATATACCTATCCGAACCTCCACCATCTCTGAACCATCCAGCTTCACGTTTCCAACTCCATCAATAACCGTATTGCTTACTTCCTCCACGCCTTCCTTGCGATCCAGCTCCAAAATAGCCAGTCTAATTATCTCATCTGCCTTGTAGTAATACATCCAGTCATTCTTAGCGCCCCAGGCCCTCTTCACCCGCTCCGAAATCTCATCATCGACTGGTAGCCCCTCTTTGACGAGTGCCGCATTCAGTGCTCCCATTTTATCCAGGACTCCATAAAGGTCCTTGTAGTGCGGTGATCTGGTACGGTCATAGAGCCTCAACCCCTCCGCAACTGCTCTCTCCACATCTACCCCTTTATCACTGCCGTCCCCCCTCCTCCCAAACGACCACTCCAGCGCCTTGCCCAGCGTATACGCGTCCTCAAGCGCAAAGCCGGCCCCGGCACCAAACGCCCCCGACAGCGGATGCGATGCGTCTCCAAGAAGGGCTACGGCCTCTCCTCGATCCTCGTCACCCACGCAGCGCTCCAACCTCGGGCCCGAGAACATGGCGAACTCTTGCGTGTTTCCCTCAGCCGCCGCCACGGTCAATATCTCACGTACGGCAGGACAAAACTCTTCATACTCGGACAGGAGATGGTGCAGGTCGTATGGTTGGCCCCAACTGACGTGATCCTGACCGTCGGGCAGACGGCGGATGCGAGCCGTCACCTCGAACACGTCGCCACCGAGGGGGCACGTGTAGACGTACTTGCCACCGACGTTGTGCCAGAAGATGGGGCCGCGCAGGGGAGCGAACTCGATGTTCTTGGAGGTCAGGTGGGCTGAGATGGCTGAGGTGGACGTCAGGGTACGGTAGGCGGACTGGCCAATGTACGAGAGGTTGTGCGACGGGAACAGAAACTGGCGGACGGCCTGTGGAGTTTCCTTGTTAGTCCATGGCATGATTTACTGGTCTTTAAAGTCTAAAAGACCAGACTTCATTAAGAGCAACTCACTGATCTGATCCCATCAGCGCCTACCAGCAAGTCCACCTCGTCTTCGAACCCGTCCTCGAACACGATGCGCAACTTCCCGCCATCCTGAAGCTTCTCGATTGCGACCAGCTTCTTTGACAGTTGAATCTTGGCTTGATCTACCTCCTTTAGCAGCGCGCCCTGTAGTTTTGGCCGCACCATGCGACAGCTCGCCTGCTTGGGTGGCGTGTCCTCGGGTGTGTAGCTTTTGCCAAGAAGGGTACCATCTCGTGCGTTGCTGCATCAGAGGCCACCCAACGAGCAGCTTGTCAGCTCAGATGCCTTTATCCGATCGACACTTCCGATCCAACACAGGTATTGACATCTCCAAGTACTTACCGATGTTGCACAGTATGCCCGTCCTCAGGCCTGAAATAGTCACCAGCTGTAATGTTCCCATCCGCGCCCAAGAGTTCCAGCATCCGCCATGTGTGCCGCTGCAGGCTGATACCACCGCCCGTCTCGCTGATCTGCGGCTTCTTCTCATACAGTGTCCAGCTGACAAACGGTAGCTTGCCAAGTTCGATGGCAGCCGCGAGGCCTCCCGGTCCACCGCCAATGATGGCGACTTTGATAGTAGGGGTATTGATTGCCATCTTTGATGGTGGCTACTATGATGTCGGCGTACACTATGTGGAAGAGATTTGAAGCGGGTGATATACGCAGTCCAATATTACTTTGGGATTTTAAAAGGTACTTGCCTCTGATACGCATCACAAAGAATTATAAATCAGTGCAGCAGTTAGATGGGGTGGTACGAATTGAATGAAGCTGCCCGCACATTGCGCCATTGCACCAGCGTATGAGACAATGGCGAAATAAGGTTGACGTTTGTACTAGCTGCAGTGCTTAGGTACGCAGGTGGTACTCTGAACAATACCATAATACCACTTTAAAGGTTTGGAACAACTTGTCCCACTGATAGCCATCTCAATTAGATATCCCGCTGTTGTTATACCGAGATCAGAAGCCCAAAGGTCGCGTTGGAGGATTCGCACTACTGATACGACGACACTGTTGTTCTTTGTTTCTTAATGATGGTTGTTTCTAACGCAGCTTTCAAGTTACCTAGACATACACACACACACAATAGCTTGTTACAACAAAGCTGCTGGAGGTCTGGTAGTGAGTTAATGAAAGAATGATCTTGTTCCCTATATCGTAGCGGAGCTACTTAATAGTAGTACACGACGTTGACGCTAAACTCGATAGTTCCAGTTTCTTCCTAGTATGTACATACAAGATCCCACTGAGGAGATTCCCGACAGTTCCGATTGTCTGGGTTGGCCCATTTGCTCTCAGCCATTTGCTCTCAGCCATTTGCTCTCAGCCATTTGCTCTCAGCCATTTGCTCTCAGCCATTTGCTCTCAGCCATTTGCTCTCAGCAATTTGGCAAAATCAATGTTTGGCAGAATCGAGAAGTGGCTGACCAACACGCCTTGAAACTTGAGGGTGATACATGCCGCGCCATTCCGCGCCGTGTCATCCGAATTTATTTAGCAGCTCTGTAACAGCGGGTTTACCCGCCTAGACCGACAAGACAGAATGTCACCGTTGCTGGAAACAAGCAGCGGCCGAAACTCAAACGGCGGCCACAAATGCGAGATCCCTTTTCCCCTTGTGTGCCCCACATTGCGTCATTTTACAGAGCCAACGTGGAGGGCGGGGGTCGATCCCCAAAGTCCCATCATCATCGTCAAGGTCAAGGGTGAGCCTCCACTAGCCATTAAAGACCCCCTCATTCCCGACATCCGCCCGCCCCATCTACCTAGACATCCATCGTCTCACTCATCAACTGTCACGCACACATAATCATCCCAATTAGCACCTTCACAGAATTACTGTTCTATTCACAACCCAAAGCGAATTCGGTTCATCAAAAAAATGCCCAACCCTAACCCCCTCCGAATCGGGTTCGTGCCCGAGCACTTTTCAACGCCCATTTACTTCGCCAAGAAGTATTTTGGGCTTGATGCCGAGCTAATCCCGTTTCCGTCGGGAACCGGCCACATGGTGACGGCGCTACGCAGCGGCGACATCGACGTCGGCATCGGACTGACCGAGGGCTGGGTCGCCGGTTTGGGAAAAGAGGATGCATCAGTTGGTGACGGAGGCTATCGGCTTGTCGGGACCTATGTCGAGACGCCGCTGTGTAAGTCGGGTTGCATTTTGTCAAACATTCATTACCCACTCACATAAGTATGGATCAAGAGCATGCAACTGACCACAAACCACAGGCTGGGCCATCTCCACGGGCGCTTCCCGCCCCGAAATCACATCGGTCGACTCCCTCAAGGGGAGCAAGATTGGTGTCTCGCGCATCGGTTCCGGCAGCTACGTGATGGGCTATGTGCTGGCCGACGAGCGCAACTGGCTGCTTCCCACGGAACCCGCCAGCGCCGCTGCTGGGGAATCCGCCTCGCCTTTCAGCCAGTTCGTTGTCCTCAGCACGTTTGAGAACCTGCGCAGGGCCGTCAACACTGGAGAGGCCGACTTCTTCATGTGGGAGCACTTTACGTCCAAGCGCTACTACGACTCGGGCGAGATCAGGAGGGTGGGCGAGATCTACACCCCCTGGAGCAGTTGGAAGATTGTGGCGAGCACCAAGCTGGCAGACGGTGATGGACAGCTGGACGCAAGGGTTGCAGTCCTGTTTGACAGGTTGGACGAGGGGGTAAAGTATTTTAAGCAACACACCGACGAGGCGGTCGAGTATATTAGTACCGAGCTGGACTACTCGGAGGAAGATGCACGGGAGTGGCTGAAGACAGTGAGGTTTTCCGAGAAGACAAAAGGCGTGGATGTCAAAGTTGTAGAGAAAACGGTGCATGTGTTGCTAAAAGCAGGAGTGCTGATGCGGAATAAGGGGTTGGGGCCAGACGCCATGGTTGCTGAGAGACGGTGACGGAGTGAGGCCAGAGCTTAGTTACTATGAGTAAATATCAGTTTCATGTTTTTCCAAAATAGACCTTCAACGTACCTATAATGTACGTATTGAGTCAACTGACAATTGTGCAGTCAATCGTTATGCAGAAGCGGGATTTGTTGTGGAAATTCTTGATAGCGTCCAAGTCTGGTAACTTAGGCAGCAAATGCAGGTGCAACTTGTACATGTGGGGCGTATGGTCTAGTGGTATGATTTCTGTTTTGCAATGCCTTTGGCACCTTGCTCTTACAGACGGTCCCGCGTTCGATCCGCGGTACGTCCATTTCGTTTTTGCTTTTTGAGTCTTGCTTATGCCATTTGTACAATTGCATCTCCATACCAAAATATTGTCTTAATGACTGGACGTCAAGGTTATTATGCATGGGATTATTTCGTCTATGTATGTCTCTTTTGTCCCAAGTCTATTATGTCAACAATCTACATACACAATGCATTAAAACGCACCAGCGTTTACTTCCCCCCCTTACCGCCCTTGGACCCCGCAGCATCCTCCCAGCTCTTCCTGATAGCCCGCCAATACTGCTCGGGATGCCTCCTCATATGGCCCACGTGTGGCGAGCCGTCAAATAGCTCAGCATCGACATCATAGCCCCTCTGTCTGGCCTGGGCAGCATGCTTCTCGACGTCCTCCCAGTAAATAATGTCGTCCTCCTTGGAGTACAGATACAGCCTCTTGGCGCTACTGTCTGCGAGAGCCGGGTCGTTGACCGCACCGGTGCTAAACTCGGCAGCGCTCGACACGCCGATGAGCCAGCCAAAGCCGTGAAGAGCGCCGAGGAACAGACCGGCCAGAGTCTGGGTCAGCACAAAGGGCCATGGGAACCACTTGGTGTGGGCCCCAATAGCCAGGGCGCGGGACCAGGGCGCGATGTTGGAGAGAAAATGGGTGCTGCCGGGGGTGGAGTCGCAGATGAGCATGTCGTGCGGGAAGAGGGGAGGCGAGTCAGAGCTGGAGTTGGAGTCTGAGTCTAAAGAAGATATTGATGACGAGGACGACGACGACGACGACGACGACGACGACGACGACGACGACGACGACGACAGAGGCGCGGAGTGCGACACGTTCTGATAGGCGTGCAAGGTGGCAGCAAAGTTGATGCCGCCCGTGTTGGACATGACGTGCACGAGAACTCTCTCCTCAGAGTCGTCCGACTTGGTGGCTTTGGTGCCGTGTACCGTGTCGATGATAGGCACCATGGATACCGCGCGGGCGTCCAAGGTTTGGTAGAGGGCCTTTAGGATGGGCGAGAAGATGAGGACGATCTTGGCTGACGGGAAAAGGGCGCGGTAGCCGTCAACATACTTGACGATGTGCTTGGGGCGCGCATCGCCCCAGCCGTAGAGGATGACGGCTGTCGGATCTGTAGAGGACGAGGACGGAGAGCTGCTGCCGTCTGAGACGAAGACCTGTTTGCTGAGTTGCCTGAAGCCAGGGAGATAGGACTCTATGGCGTTGGTGGTGGTGGTGGTGGTGGTGGTGGCGGCGGTAGCTGACTCGGCCATTGTGGAGATGACTGAACTGAAGTCCAATAGGGCTGAAACAGGGAATGTGAATAAGAAGTTAGGATGATTCGTGATGGTCAGTCAGTCAGCCTCAACGGTCATTGTAGACTTGACTGAAGAAGAGGCGGCTGCTGCCATCCACACCTGGTACCAAGTATATCAACTGCCGTGCTAGCTTTCCCAACTGGGCTAGGCTGCATGATTGACAGCTCTCAACGATCCATTCCTGTTGGGGTGGCATGGGCATGGGCAGTTATTCCACAAGGCAGCCAGTTGGTAGTTGCATGCTGCTGTTTTGCAGTACATATTCTCCTGTTTATCGACATACCGAGGCACTTGACAACCATCTGCGGGTTCTCGGGATTTTGTTGGCCAATAGAGAAAGACGTGTGATACTTGCAGAGCAAGGGGTGGAAGGGATTGAGGAATAGACATCTGCTTTGAGGAATATCAAGAGAGAGTGTTGGGGCGGAGATGATGCAGAATCGGGATATTTGGCAAGGAACACTGCATGTTCCTAGTCGGATGTTTGCCTGATTTGGGTTATTCTGGAGAGTCCTTGCGGAGTTTAAGAAGTTTGGCATGTGAAAATGGCTAAATCAATAAGAGTGGGCTGAAACAGTTTGTCAGGACCAAGGCCCACAAATGGCCGGAAGTTAGCCGAGGTGCGAACATAGGATTGGTTTTGGAAAGAGTAGCCAAACACATGCCTCAATATTCCATGATATTTTTCGGACGAAGCAAATCGCAAATCGCAAATCGCAAATCGCAAATCGCAAATCGCAAGTCGCCTAATATGCTGGGCAATTGGTCTAGGGATATGATTTTCGCTTCGCATTGCAGATGCGTCATGTGAAAGGTCACCGGTTCGAATCCGGTATTGTCCAATCTTCTTTCTCTTTTTATCATTTTACCCACCGTTTCTGTCACGCTGTATCCACTGATTGCGGATATATTTACGCATGGCATTTTCTGTATACATACGCGCAAGCATGTAAGGTCACTGGGTAGCCGAGGTTTAAGAGCGGGGCAATTTACGCGCCCCAAATACCCTCCCGATAACTGATTACTGGACCTCTTGCATTGCCCGCTACCATCACGCTGGTAACGACATGTGGCTTGATATTAGCCGATTCACAAGTTCTTCCCATCCCGACCACGTGCCTATAATACCCTGGGAATCGACAATGGTCGTGGTATCATAACATCGAAATCCCAAGGCAATCAAGCAAAAACATTATGCCGTCAACAATGGTTCCTATCAAGAAAAACACCCAGTTGATCCCCTTCTCGGACGCCATCAAGATCGCCCAGCTCGATTCTCACACGTACGCCGCCAATCTGTATGATACATTCTGTATCGGCACAGTCCCCAATGGTGGCTACGTCGCCTCATGCCTCCTGTCCGCTGCCAGCATCCATCTCTCCTCCCGTGGCCAAGTCGACGTGCTCACGTCCCATTTCGAGTTCATCAGCCGCACCGAGGTCGGTCCAGCCGTCATCGTCATTGAGGATATCAAGCTCGGCCGCCAACTGTCTACCTTGCACCTGACCCTCTACCAAGATGCGCTGCTGCCACACGCCCCATTCTTCACCCCCGCATCATCGCGCAAGGAGCTCCTCGCCTACTTCACCATGACAAACCTCTCCAGGGAGAAGGGCGTGTCTCTACCCACCAACTTCTCTCTGCATCCCCCCTCTCCCTCTGACCCAGATTTTGCGCTGTTGAAGGATGGTAAAGACAAAATCTGGCAGCCCCTTGTCTTCGCAGCCGACGACGCCTTCGGTTACATCCGCTGCCTGCAGAACGTTATTTACTACCTTCCAAAACACGGTCAGCCTGAGAAGAGCATTATTGATCTGTGGGTACGACTCGCAAACCCCGGCGAGAAATTCACTGCAGCAAGTCTCGCCTTTGTGGCAGACTGCTGGCCATACGTCGTGGAGGCATATCGACCCAAAACAAAAGAGCAGGAAAAGGATGCAGCTTTTAAGAAGGACGCCGTTTTTTGGTACCCGACTGTGGTGTTGAATTTGGAGACGAAGAAAAATATGGGCCCTGGAGGGAACGAGTGGTTGCGACTGAGGGTGCAGGCTAAGGAGATCAAGAACGGGAGGCTGGATATCGAGGTCTTGATATTTGATATTCGCGGAGACCTGGTGGCGCTGAGCCAGCATGTCAATTTAGTGCTGGGCAGTGAGAGAAACACGGCTGGGAGGAGTGGTAAGAAGGTGGAAGCGAGTAAGATTTAGACCTAGAACTTGAAAGTATTCGTTATTAGATTCATAGTAGTCCTAACTAGTACCCCTTATGGTAACCTTGATTCCATGCTTCACACAACCTGGAACTAATTCAATAACTTACTAAGTCAAGGGTCCACATTATACACTCATTAAAATAATTAGCGAACTCCACAGACACAACTTGCAGATGGCGGAGTTACCGAGTTCCTGGGATGATGGATTGCGGCTGACAACCAAACTGGGTTGGTGCCTGAGTCCAGACCACAATCCATCGATATGTTGCCCCGCCTCCCTACCTTAGTCTGGACTTAGGCCCAGAACGTGGCCACCAGACTCGGTGGGAAGTGGCTCCATATTGTGGACGACTCACAGGCCTGGATTGAATCGATGTGGTGTTGGTAGTGATACTGGCTGCGCCTGGGCTGAAAACGTTAAGTGCTGTTCCATTCACACAAAGACGTTGTCCGATTTCAGACAATGGACCACAAAAACCATTGAATACTGCAGCTCTGGCCAGCCGGCCCGCCAAGATCCACATTCCCCTTTCCAGTCAGAACAACATATTATTTTATCACAGGAGGTGGGTCATGAGAGGAACGGGTGGGATAAAAACTGACTGGAATGTCTCATCTTCCAACGTCGATCTTTAACTTCTATAACCCACGAACCAATTCATTAAGGTTGACCCAATTAAATTCAACGCCAAACCACAAATCTACGTATCTATATACCTAACCTTACCACGCTCCATCATGGGCATCGATATTACGCGCCTCTTGGATTTGCCAGATTTCCCCGAGGATTCGTCAGGAACCGCAGCTGGCACTTATACAGTCACGCCAGACTTTGAGGAACATTCACTCGTGGGAGAAGGTCCCGAGTACAAGTACCAGACATGGTTTCAGACGCCTGTTCGTAGAGCCCCTTGCCTTCAATGCATCCATTCCAAGCAGAGGTTAATCTCACCTATCTAACACAACATGCCACAAACAGCCATTAGATCCCGAGACCATCAAGCGGATTCATAGCGTGCAACTCTTTGCTGAGTCGCATGCCCAGGGGTTTGTTGACAATGCCGCGGCCGGCACCTGGACCTGGTTTGAGCTGGCGATTATGGAAAACGAGGAAGCCGACAAACCAAGAGTCAAGGACGGTGTGACGCTGGCATGGACGAGCCACAAGAACTTTCTGAAGCAATTCGAGTACGGCTGGAAGTCGGGAGTCAAGTTTGGCGAGAAGCACGACATTTTCCGGCTGCTCGAGGACGGCAACGTCATCGCCGTTCGTTTGTGTGCGCGCTTCCTTGAATGGGTCGTCTATGCCAAGTCGGGCTTCCTACAGATCGAGATTGGCAATAAAGGTGACTTACTTAGTTCCAGTTTCATACCTTACCCATGCGTCCTGAACTGATGAGAACTAATGTGGCGTGACTTCAACAGTCAAACGAAAGCCGCTCGAGTACGGCCAGGTCGTCACCACGGTCAAGACAGTAAACGATGTTTTCCGGGAGATCAACAGCGCCATGGCGTTGGACGGCATGCAGATCGCAAAGGTGCCCGAAGCGCTCTTCACGGCGGGCATGATGACAGGACGGGACCAGCGGCCGCTAAGAGTTCTGTCTTTGGACGGTGGAGGCGTCCGGGGTATCGCCGCCCTCATGCTGCTCGATGAGGTGATGAAGAGATCACACCCGGGCAAGCTGCCACATGAGGTCTTTGACATGATTGGCGGCACAAGCACAGGCGGTTTCATCGCCGTCATGCTGGGGCGTATGAAGATGAGCATCGCCGACTGCATTACCTGCTACACAAAGTTTATGAACGTCGTCTTCCCACCCAAGAACAAGGTGAAGAAGTGGTGGCAGAGCACCCAGGCCGCCGCCACCGGCACCAAGTGGGATGCCGCCCCCTCTGGTCAAGGTCATCAAGGATCTCATCCAGGAGAGGCTTGGCGACCCCGACAAGGTCCTGCTCATGGATTCTGACCCTGCCGCTCAGGGTTCCTGCAAAGTGTAAGTTTTCCTGTTGTGTCTATGTCGGTTATCGCTCGAGTCTTGGCGTGAGCTAACGTCAGCATGTATCTCGCATAGCTTTCTTATGGCGGTTAATCAGAGTGGTGCCAACAACCACGCGCCGGTGACGCTGCGATCATACGAGCACCCCCTCGAACGGCCAGCTGTTCCCGGCATCAAGCTCTGGGAGGCGTGTCGAGCTACTTCGGCGGCCCCATCTTTCTTTGAACCTCTCAAAGTCGGCGGTTTCACCTTCCTCGATGGCGGACTGCAGGCCAACAACCCCCTCGGATGGCATGTGTTGAATATTCCTTATGGTATTTATCTACGTGGTTAGTATCTCGAGCTGACCGTTGTTCTTGTCCCACCTTAGGCTCTGGAACGAAGTCCTCACAGTCTTCGGCCCCACACGCAACACAAGCTGCTTCCTGTCCATCGGAACCGGTACGCCTAGAACTGAGACGGTCCCGAATGCCAATGCAGTCAATATCGTGGGCTTTGCCAAATCCATGGCCAGCATCGCCACAAACACCGAAATAACAAACATCTTGTTCCGGTCGCTGATCAATGCCTTTGCGCCCCACCCGACTGAAAAGAAGTACTGGAGGTTTAATGTTGGAGACGGCTGCCCCGACTTTGTCGAGACTGCCGAGGGGACGTGGGAGTGGAAGCTGCTGGAGACCAGAGAGGAGCAGGAGCTGGGCGAGCTGGACGATGTGGCGGCTATGAAAAACACCATTACCGCAACGGAGAAGTATATGAAGCTGGAGGGGGCTGAGGTCATGATTAACGAGTGTGCCAAGAGTCTGGCGGCTGTTGTTTGTCAACACTAGACTTGAAAGGTGGTCTGGTGGTGTATCTGTTAGCCTCCATCAGGTTACATCTGAATGCAATACCAGAGTCTAGAGCCGACGATCGCTGTAGCTTGCCGCCCACCTAGCATGTTTACGTATAATGAATTCGACTTATTGTCAGTAAAAGACTCAGTTTGAGCCACAAGTCAAGGTTGAACAACTCAGCCATTGGCCCAACGCTCTATGCAACCCTCAGTCGTCCATCCACCTCCCTACTGGAGTCTAGGATCCCAGTGTCGCTGATCCATAGTCAATGGCCCTTAGTCACTAACGCTCGCACTAGACAAGGGTTAAGAGCTAGCAAACTGGTGATTATTTTTCCACTTCAGTCTTGCATCTACCTGTGAAAGTACCGACGACGCAGATGCTACCAGATGTTACCATTATGCCCTTGCTGTCGTGAACAAACGCTTCGCTCAGTAATAGCACCCGTGTAAGCGAAATGTTGAAGTTAGTAATGACCAAAGAGCCACTGAGGTCACAAACAAGAAAAATCAGCACTAGCGGCAGCTGGCTCAATGAACCACAGCAGGCAGCAGCAATTGTACCCTCATGATGGGGATGGGCCTTAGTGAGCGTTGCTCCATAGAGAATTTGCCACCACGGAAATTACCATCGTCATTGATCATGATTAACCCTAACATTGTTCAAGTTGAGGAGATATATATCCCGCCAAGAATGCGCAGCTTTTGTCCTCAAGCTCTCCATTCACCACTCACATTATCCATCACTTGCATCCACATATCTCTGAAGATATCTCCGTTCCAAGATGAAGATC